GCTTTTCACATTCTCTTCCTGTTCCACCTAGGGCGGCGTTCCGCCTTTTACCTCCTTTCCCAATCTGTCTCCATGTCAGGCCCACACTCAAGTGAGCCTTGCTACCATCTCATGCCTTCGTCATGTGTGCTGTGCTCTCACCACATACATGTGCATACACACACATGCACAGATCAGCTGCTTTGTTTTATCTTGGAAAAACGAAATCTTGTAGACATGCTACTCACCAACTTAAGTTTTTCACTTATGGCCTGGACATGTTAATAATTACACGATATTCATTACGGGCATGTACAACAACTTACATGATCTTCCTACATTGAAGCCCTTCCCTCTGTCCCATACACAACACACATGCCACTCTACATTTTCAACATTGCACACACCATGCTGCAGGACCCATCCCTGTATATTGTCTAGCCATGATCATGCTTTTATATCTCTGGAATAGTGGACAGGCTGTATAGTATAGTTTCTCACCTGCAGAAGCACTAGACTTTGACTTAGGGCAAATCAATGCACACTGGTGGTACTTCCCCTCAAGCTAAGCCAGAGCCCTCTTGTGACATAAAAGGAGGAGAGTCCTTTTGGTCTTGGCTGCATATATTCTGAGAACGTGCAGAAGTGACAGTATGGCAGAGTCAGAGCACGTGGTGGATATTGAAACGTCAACAGTTTGCACATAATTGGGTTCTTCTTTTTAGTGACAAACTGAGCTGCAGCGTGGCCGTGGTCAGATGTGTTCGGTCCACAGATGAAAAGCTGTGAAATGTTGAAGGCAGCTGACTAGCAGTACAACTTAGCTCTTGAGACTTGTTTCTTGAGACAGTGTGTAACGTGTGCACACACAGGGTGATGGAAGTCTGATTGGGTTCAAGGCAGACCACGTCCCTGGGTCTGTCTGCAGAAGCCCAGTCCTGCTTCCTCACTAGCTGTGTGCAGTAGGAGGCCGGGCTTTGAGTCCCAGATGGAATCATTCATTTGGAGTGAAGGCTGGAAAAAAAAAAAAAAAAAAA